GATGGAAGCTAGGGAATTGTTATTTCTTCCTTAATATATTTATTTATCAAATATTAATTGAGAATTGTTGGTGTATAAAGCTTGGCTCTGTGGGAGATACTCATTTGTATTAGGTATGGCTTCTGTACACAAGAAGTCTATAATATGAAAGAAGATATAACCATATATATAATCACTGTAACACAATAAGAATATAAGTACCATATCAGTGGAAAAAAAAAAAGTCATAGGAATTCATTGGAAAAATAGGTCACTTTTTTTGAGACACAAGCAAAGAATACTTAATGAATAGATAAATAATGAGTGAAGTGAGAGCTTCAGCCTAATAGTCTCAATATTAATGTCTTCAACAAACAGATGAGCAAAGGAAAAATAAAACAGGAGAGAGAGAGATAAACCAAGAAACGGACTCTTAACTATGGAGAACAAACTAATGTTACCAAAGGGGAGGTGGGTGGGGGAATGGGCAAAATAGTGGATGGGGATTAAAGAGTACACTTTAAAAAAAAGTCTTCAATAAACAAAAAGGCAGAGATACCTGCAAATCTAGAGTGTATGAGAAAGTTAGGCAAGAGGATTTGAGAAGATGAGAGAAGATTTGGAATTTGAGTTACAGGGAATGGACTAATTTATCATCTAGATATGAATAATATGATTGTCAAGTAGCTTTGAGAACCCAATTGAAAATAGTTAACATGAATTTATGGTAGGTTGGTCAGCATAGTTCTATGATTAGCAACGTCAAATGAGAGAAATACTCTTCTTAACTATCCATGGCAGACGCTGTGGAAAAATTTAACTATTTGAGCAAGAAGTCTATTTTGAACTATAATAGGCCATCAGTCTTCATTGTTAATTCCTCAGGTCATTGAACTTTCACAGAGAGCCTGATGTCAATATCAAAGAACTGAGCATTTCGGTTTGTGTTTCTGCCTTAAGAGTGTTGCAATATAAAATAATAAGGGACTTGACTTTATTTCATGCTTCAGGTGCTGTTGATTTTCTATAAATATTATATAATCAGAGAGGGTAATGTCTTTACAGTTGTATTTCTCTCAGAATACAGTGTGCTATGTTCCAAGTGGTTACACGTGATTTATAATTGTTGGTAAGATGGTTCTGTCAGGCAAACTGTGGTATGGCTTATTTTCACTTATCACATTCAATAAATCACTATAAAACAGGCCACAGCATACATGAAACACTGCAAAAAAAACACTTAAAAATTCATTTGCCTTAACATTGTCTTGTGGAGGGTTTCAGTTTATTGGGAAAAGAAAATGGAATTTTTTCCTCTAAAGATCAAGTGTACATCCCCAACATTTTTGCCCTTATTATTATCCAGGGATAATAAGAGCTAGGATTATAGTACATTATTTTATACTTTTATATTCTCTATCTTTTTAGGCATTTCTAACTCAGTCACCATATAAGCTCTGAGTTTAACTCCAGGATATTTTAAAAGATGAGTCTTCAATACGAAATTTCACATTTTCTTAGTATCACAGTTTGTCATTTCCTTTTTGTTTACCATCTCCATATAAGTGGGAGAAAGGAGAAGGAAGAAATGTTGAGAGGGAAAGAAACTTTTGTTCTGGCATTTTTTTTTTTTTAAAGATTTTATTTATTTATTTGACAGAGAGAGACACAGCGAGAGAGGGAACACAAGCAGGGGGAGTGGGAGAGGGAGAAGGAGAAGCAGCTTCCCGCCGAACAGGGGGCCCGATGCGGGGCTCGATCCCAGGACCCTGGGATCATGACCTGAGCCGAAAGCAGACGCTTAACGACTGAGCCACCCAGGTGCCCCTTGTTCTGGCATTTTGACCTGAAGAAATGACTCATGCCCTGTATGGTGATCATTGTCTAATAGGGAATATGACTCTTTTCTTTTATTGGAGATTACTGGTCTAAGAGTCAAGAAACAGGCCTTACTTTCAAGCACATGGATGTGGATGGACTCTGATCTTGGTCACTGCATTGGTGGTCTTTGTGTAATAATGCATAGAACTGGAAGGGGACCACTGTAAACACACTGAACCCTGGGTGTGGCAGCTGGTGTTGCTTCATCTTATTGTGATTATACCCTGAGACCCAATGCTGCTTTTCTGTCTCTCCATAGACAGAAAACTTGGTGACTTAAATAGCCACGCATTGGTCCAGAAAGAGCCATTAACACTACTTGTATCATCAGCCTATTAATCCTTAGGAGAATTATCCAGGCCTTGAGATTATCAAGTTAGCAGATAGGAATAAATGCCTACAAAACACTCAAATCCAGACGCTTCTTTTTCTCCTCTCCTACTTCAACCTTCATGACAATTCCTGCACATGTTCTCTAGATTCCATCTCCGCTCACCAACTCAAGCATCTTAGCTAACTTGAGTGACCCTCTCAATTCTGCATTACCAGTGTTCCCTCTCCACTTAATTATTCTCTCCAGCACACCAACATGGTAGTATCTCCCACATTTAAAAAAAAAAAAAAAAATCCTGCCCTGCATCTTTTTGAGCCAACACTTTTACTTCCTTCTGATGTAGCAGAACTTTTGTCTGAATGTGCTGCTTTTAAGGTCACAGAATAGAAACTTATTTCTTGTCTTTTGGGTTGCCTTGGTTCATGGTCTAGTTGCCCTCTCTCTTCCCCTTTTAGGTGGCTTGGCAGTTGGCTCAGCAGCACTGAATAAACTCATCCAAAGAACATAAGTTATCTCTCCAGCTCATACTAGTTGGAATTAGTGTGTGACCTCTCCTAACTAGGTTACTGTCTTATAAGGCCATATCCTTGGCCAGGAAGCTTCCACTACTGCATGGTTGACCACAGTTCCCTGAATTTTCTCATCTGTCCTATAAATATATGCAGCACCATAGGGAGAGTGCTCTTCTCATGTAGCACTTCTCATGTTTTGTCCAACCATTCCAGTATTAATCTCATGGTGTGATGAATAGAAGGGAACTTGTGCATTCTACTGACTCTATTGCTTCTATACTTTCCCTAATAAATACATCATAGGGACTAGTGTGTATGCATCTGTGTCCCTTGCATAACAATCTCTAGTGACTTCTATGCTCTATTACACTGTCATATCTTCATTTTACTCAAGTTCTCAGTAGCATTCAACATGTGAACCATTCCCTCTTTCTCTTTTCCTCTCTTTGTTTCCAAGACTCTCTACCAGTGGATCTCAAACTTCAGAATACATCAGAATCACCAGAAACACAGATGGCTGGGTCCCACTCCAGAGTTTATGTTTCAGTAGGTCTGAGGTAGGGCCTGAGAATTTGCATTTCTACCATGTTCCTAGGTGATGCTGATGGCTTTGTTCTGAGGACCACACTTTGACAACCACCACTTAACGCTCTCATGGAAGCTTTGTTTATCTTTACAAGTTTCCCATTTAATTATGCCACCATTATGGACACTTCTCATTATCCTCTTTACCAGATTAGCTTCCTTGAAATGACTTCTAATTTCTCCTCAGAGTTCAGTGACTCCCTTTAGTATTCTTCCAGTCCCATGGCTTTACCCATTTTGTTTGTTTTAATCTAGCTTAAACATTTTGTATAAAGCTGCCGAATCTTTAACCTTGGTCATCACATGGAGTTGTGGTGAGGATTAGGTTGTAAACTTCAATCACTTTAGCCAAGACAAAAATGGTGCCATGACTAATTAATAACGCAGGAACACTAACACCTGGTAATTAATCATAAACTTTATTACTATTTTAAACTAGGTTCAGTGGCACGAGCCAAGCTACTCATGCTGTTTGACAAAGTCCAAGTATGGGGGACGATCCTGAAAACAGGAGACTCCACAGCGGGTTCCTGCTATTCTCTTTCATTTTGTTTATGGCAATCTTTATAATTGTGGGAATATTTCTGGGGTTTCATGATAAAGTGACTACTCATCTTAGTTACGCCTATCTAAGCAATCATAATGAAACTAATTCCACGAGGCCCCCCAGGCGCCTCAGAAGCGGCAAGATTCTAAGAAAGGAACAGCTTAGGCTGTTCCACAGTACACTATATTTCCTGCACTATAGAACAAAATAGCAAGACGGTCATGCTCTGTCTAGCACCTTTCTCTTTGCGTATTGTTTTTTAGTTTTAGCGAAAGTCAATAAGCGGAAATCAATAAAGGTCATGTTAATCATTACAAAGGAAAAATAAAAGAAGGCTATGTCTGTAATAAAAAAAATGATCTAAGATTATCTCAATCAATTGTGAAAAAACATAATCACATGTTACAAAAGTATGGAAAAACAAAAAAATCCTAACATATAAATAAAGTTCCTCCAAGGCTGTCAGGAGGAGATGCTTGCAACCTGACCCTGTGTCTGTGTCTCCTCATTCGCCGATGCCGTCCTTTCCTACGAGAGACCCACCCCAGCTGGAGCTGGACTCTGGCAGTTCAGAACCTAAATTATTCCAGAAACATTAAATTTTATATAGGCAGTTCCTGTAAGTCATAGCCCCATAGCTTTGATTCTGTTGGCACTTTTTAAAAATTTGTGGCATCATTCATAGTTTAAACTTTTTAATATAATCAATCTGACTAGATAAACTGCATTAAGTTCTGTTTTCAGTCATTGCCTGAACAGATTTATATAAGGCAGACATTCTGTCAAATTTTATAATTACTTCTTACAGAATTTTGTTCAATGCTAGGAGATTTTATTGGTAGTATGCCCAAAGAGAAGCAGTCACTTAATAAAATAAAGATGTTATTCATCTTCAGTCAACATGACTGTTTGACAGGATAATTCTTTCAAGTTGGACAGAAACAGACATCATCTTTTTATGTAAGGAAAGCAACATTTATTTCTAGAATCCCATTCTAATTACAGTATATTTTGAAGTTACATAGTTAACTTTTATGTTGAAAGAAAGAAAGAAAGCTATCTAGAATACCCTATTGCATACAGGCAGGAAGGAATATAAATCATCTCAGTAATTCCTTATTTCTTTATCATGTCTATTTTTCTTTAAAATTAATGAATTTAGATGAAAGATGGTGGAGGAGTAGGGGACCCTATTTCAACTGGTCCCTGGAATTGAGCTGGATATCTACCAGACCACTCTGAGCACCCACGAAACCACCCTGAGATGTAAGAAGATCTGGATCTCTACAAAGAGAATATCACAGGCGGTTGGTTTTGAGGTACGAAGTGGGGAGCCGTGATTCCATGGGCAGATATTGGAGGATAAATGGCAATGGGAGGCTGCCTGGCCGTGGGGATCCTACACCGCTGGTGAGCGACAGCCTCGCGCTCTTGGAATGGGGCACAGACTTGCAGACCGGTAGTGGCGGGGAAAGGACTTTAGGGCAGCCCCTGGGGTGGAAACCCAGAGTGGCGGGGTTGCGCGTGCGAACTGGGAGCGGCTGGCAGTTCTAGAAGTACAAGGGGCAGAGACGTGCTCCAACCTGGAGGCAGGACTGGGGGTGCTGTGGAGGGGCGCACAACCCAGGCCACTGCAGTTTATAGCAGCACAGACAGAACCGGAGACAGTGTGGCCTGGAGAGGTCACTGAAGAACAGACTGCGGTCTCTCTGCTCTGAGGCAGAGGGTTGGAAACGGTCTCTTCTGCTCTGACTCACGGAAGAGACGTGGAAAGCCACCAGGGAAAGCCGCCAGAGAACAAAAGCCCCCAAAACTGATTCCCGCTGAGCCCATTACCTGCCACGGGGGGCAGGGCAACTCCACCCAAACAGGGTTTCATGATAAGTCATGGTGCCATGTAACAGTGTAACAGTTACAGTGCGGCAGGCGCCTCCCCCAGAAGACAGGCTGGGAAAACAAAAGGACAGCTACCCTAAGGTCCCTAGAGAACAGGTGCATCTTGCTTGGGTTCTGGTCAATAATTTGGACTCTATACATTCCCTCAAACACCCATCAACAGAATGACTAGGAGGAAGAACCCTCAAAATAGAAAAGACTCAGAGACTATGACTTATGCTGCAGATTTACAAATGGATGCAGATATAACCAAGATGTCGGAGATGGAATTCAGGCTAGCAATTGTGAAGACAATGGCTAGAATGGAGAAATCAATTAATGGCAGCATAGAGTCTCTAAGGGCAGAAATGAAAGCTGAATTGGCAGAACTTAAAAATGCTATCAATGAGATCCAATCCAATCTAGATAATGTAACAGCTAGGGTAACTGAGGCAGAAGAGCGAATAAGCGACCTGGAAGACAATATAATAGATAAAAAGGGAAAAGAGGAGGCCAGGGAAAAACAACTCAGAATCCATGAAAATAGAATCAGAGACATAAGTGACACCATGAAGCATTCCAATGTCAGAATAATTGGAATCCCAGAGGGAGTGGAGAGAGAGAGAGGACTAGAAGATGTATTTGAGCAAATCGTAGCTGAGAACTTCCCTAATCTGGGGAATGAAACAAACATTCGTGTCCTAGAGGCAGAGAGGACCCCTCCGAAGATCAAGGAAAACAGGCCAACACCCCGGCATGTAATAGTAAAACTTGCAAATCTTAGAACCAAGGAAACCATCTTAAGGGCAGTTAGGGGGAAGAGATTCCTTACGTACAGAGGGAAGAACATCAGAATAACGTCAGACCTATCCACAGAGACCTGGCAAGCCAGAAAGGCCTGGCAAGACATATTCAGGGTACTAAATGAAAAGAATATGCAGCCAAGAATACTTTATCCGGCAAGGCTGTCATTTAGAATGGATGGAGAGATGCAGAGCTTCCACAACCGGCAGAAGCTGAAAGAATATGTGACCACTAAGCCAGCCCTGCAAGAAATATTAAGGGGGGTTCTATAAAAGGAGAAAGACCCCAAGAGTGATCTACAACAGAAATTTACAGGGACAATCTATAAAAACAACGTCTTCACAGGCAACATGATGACAATTCATATCTTTCAATAGTCACTCTCAACATGAATGCCCTAAATGCTCCCATAAAATGGCACAGGGTTGCAGATTGGATAGAAAGACAGGACCCATCCATATGCTGTCTACAAGAGACTCATTTTGAACCCAAAGATACATCCAGACTGAAAGTGAAGGGATGGAGATCCATCTTCCATGCCAGCGGACCTCAAAAGAAAGCTGGGGTAGCAATTCTTATATCAGACAAATTAGATTTTAAACTAAAGTCTGTAATTAGAGGCACAGAAGGACACTATATCATTCTTAAAGGGTCTATCCAACAAGAAGATCTAACAATTGTAAATATCTATGCCCCCAACATGGGAGCAGCCATCTACATAATGGCTTATGTATTGATAACAATACGTTAATTGTAGGAGACCTCAATACTCCACTCTCAGCAATGGACAGATCATCTAAGCAGAAAATCAACAAGGAAACAAGAGCTTTGAATGATACACTGGGTCAGGTGGACCTCATAGATATTTACAGAACATTCCACCCTAAAAAAACAGAATACTCATTCTTCTCAAGTGCACATGGAACTTTCTCCAGAATAGACCACATACTGGGTCACAAATGAGGTCTCAACCTATACCAAAAGATTGAGATTATTCCCTGCATATTCTCAGACCATAATGCTCTAAAACTGGAACTCAATCACAAGAAAAAATTTGGCAGAAATTCAAACACTTGGAAGCTAAAGACCACTCTGCTCAAGAATGTTTGGGTCAACCAGGAAATCAAAGAAGAACTTAAACAATTCATGGAAATCAATGAGAATGAAAACACATCAGTCCAAAACCTATGGGATACTGCAAAGGCAGTCCTAAGGGGGAAATACATAGCCATCCAAGCCTCACTCAAAAAATAGAAAAATCCCGAATTCACCAACTAACTCTACACATTAAAGAACTAGAGAAAAAGCAACAAACGATGCCTAAGCCACACATTAGAAGATAAATAATTAAAATTAGAGCAGAAATCAATGAATTAGAATCCAGAAACACAGTAGATCAGATCAATGAAACTAGAAGCTGGTTCTTTGAAAGAATTAATAAGATCGATAAACCACTGGCCAGACTTATACAAAAGAAAAGAGAAAGGACCCAAATTAATAAAATTATGAATTAAAGGGGAGAGATCACGACTAACACCAAGGAAATAGAAACAATTATTAGAAATTATTATCAACAACTATATGCCAATAAACTGAGCAATCTGGATGAAATGGAGGCCTTCCTGGAAACCTATAAGCTGCCAAGACTGAAACAGGAAGAAACTGACAACCTGAATAGGCCAATAACCAGTAACGAGATTGAAGCAGTGATCAAAAACCTCCCAAAAAACAGGAGTCCAGGGCCTGATGGATTCCCTGGGGAATTCTACCAAACAGTCAAAGAAGAAATAATACCTATTCTACTGAAGCTGTTTCAAAAAATAGAAACAGAAGGAAAACTTCCAAACTCATTCTATGAGGCCAGCATTACCTTCATCCCCAAATCAGGCAAAGATCCCATCAAAAAGAATTTCAGACCAATATCCCTGATGAATATGGATTCCAAAATCCTCAACAAAATCCTAGCTAATAGGATCCAACAATACATTAAAAGGATCATTCAACACGACCAAGTGGGATTTATCCCTGGGATGCAAGGGTGGTTCAACATTCGCAAATCAATCAATGTGATAGAACACATTAATAAGAGGAGAGAGAACCATATGGTCCTCTCAACTGATGTAGAAAAAGCATTTGACAAAATACAACATCCTTTCCTGATTAAAACTCTTCAGAATATAGGGATAGAGGGAACATTCCTCAAGTTCATAAAATCCATCTATGAAAAACCCACAGTGAATATCATCCTCAATGGGGAAAAGCTGAGAGCCTTTCCCTTAAGATCAGGAACACGTCAAGGATGCCTACTCTCGCCACTATTGTTCAACATAGTACTAGAAGTCCTAGCAACAGCAATCAGACAACAAAAAGAAATAAAAGGTATTCAAATTGGCAAAGAAGAAGTCAAACTCTCTCTTTTCACAGACGACATGATACTTTATGTGGAAAACCCAAAAGGCTCCACCCCCAAATGACTAGAACTCATCCAGCAATTCAGTAATGTGGCAGGATACAAAATCAATGCACAGAAATCAGTTGCTTTCTTATACACTAACAACGCAACTGTAGAAAGAGAAAATAGAGAAACGATTCCATTTACAATAGCACCAAAAACCATAAGATACCTTGAATAAACCTAACCAAAGAGGTAAAGGATCTATACTCTAGGAACTACAGAACACTCATGAAAGAAATTGAAGACACAAAAAGATGGAAAAATATTCCATGCTCATGGATCGGAAGAATAAACATTGTTAAAATGTCTGTGCTACCCAGAGCAATCTATACCTTCAATGCCATCCCGATCAAAATTCCAATGACATTTTTCAAAGTGCTGGAACAAACAATCCTAAAATTTGTATGGATTCAGAAAAGACCCCGAATCGCCAAGGAAATGTTGAAAAAGAAAACCAAAGCTGGGGGCATCATGTTGCCCGATTTCAAGCTATATCACAAAGCTGTGATCACCAAGAAAGCATGGTACTGGCACAAAAACAGATATATAGACCAATGGAACAGAATAGAGAACCCAGATATGGACCCTCAACTCTATGGTCAAATAATCTTTGACAAAGCAGGAAAAAACATGCGATGGAAAAAAGACAGTCTCTTCAATAAATGGTGCTGGGAAAATTGGACAGCCACATGCAGAAGAATGAAACTCAACCATTCTCTAAGACCATTCACAAAGATAAACTCAAAGTGGATGAAAGACCTCAATGTGAGACAGGAATCCATCAAAATCCTAGAGGAGAACATAGGCAGTAACCTCTTTGACATCGGCCACAGCAACTTCTTTCAAGATACATCTCCAAAAGCTAGTGAAACAAAAGCAAAAATGGACTTTTGGGACTTCTTCAAGATCAAAAGCTTCTGCACAGCAAAGGAAACAGTCAACAAAACAAAGAGGCAACCCACAGAATGGGAGAAGATATTTGCAAATGACACTACAGATAAAGGGTTGGTATCCAAGATCTATAAAGAACTTCTCAAACTCAACACCCAAAAAACAAATAATCAAGTCAAAAAGTGGGCAGAAGATATGAAAAGACACTTCTCTGAAGAAGACATACAAATGGCTAACAGACACATGAAAAAATGTTCATCATCATTAGCCATCAGGGAAATTCAAATCAAAACC